AGACTTATTTCAATTTAGTGGATATATATCAGAATTTTTAAACAAAAAATTTTAAATTTCACTCCCATTTACGACATGCGTAGGAGTTTTGATTTTAAGTTCAAAAATATTTATTGTGGGGGATGATCATGAAATTGGCTGAAGCTGAAAATTTGGGTCTCAATTTAGATCTATAAAACCTACTAAAACTCACTTATACATGTTTATTATAAATTCTACCCATAAAGCTGACCCCTAACCCTAAAAAAAGGTCAAAAAAATGTATCCCAAAAATTTTTAAATTTTTATAATAAAATAGGTCAAATTTTCAGCTTCAGCCAATTTCAGCTTCGGCAACCATATTTATTATTTCACAAAATCATTCATTTATACCAGTACGATCACATGAATGTGTAACATGAAATGTGGTTCCGTTTAACTTTTGATGTTTGCTATGCTAATTTTTGAAAAATTCTTTTTTAGTATAAGTAATGATTTTCATTTATCCAAATCTAGTAGAAGTTAAGATAATATGTATTGACACGGCGCATTATGCTAGTGTGGGAAAAATATGTGTGTGTGAAAATTATATTTAAAATACCAATCATCATCGGTTATGTCGGTCAGTCAAGCCGTTCTGACCAACTAGTATCGGTTACAGTTAATAACTGTGACTAAATGGTTATAACTGGAGTGGGCTGCTACGCAGGTGAAATTTTTCAGAAGTTCAGAATATTTTGGAATTTAACAATTAATGCCTACATTAGCAGAAAACTGCCTTAATGTGGGCCTGTGTAGTCTGCACATCCTGCACAGTCTGCACAGTAAATTCAAAAAATCTTTGATTTGCCTATTCATAGTTATAACCATAACCGAACCCAACCTTATTCTGGAGCATAATATTTAATAGTTATTAGGTAGAATGTAGATGATATTGGGTCAGCATCATTTAGTGACCATTTGTTAGCTCAGGTCATGCCGCGAAGTGGCATGATCGGAGTTAATCAAATGGCCACTAAATGATGCTGACCCAATATTACCTATATTCTACCCAATAATGATATTATCCAGGAGTGGTCTTGATCATATTACTTATATTAATTATGTAAATTATTGTTATTTCATATAAAGATGAGTTTATTGATTATGTGGTTTTTTAGAGTTTTTTTTTTCTTATTCTTTTCCCTTTTTTCTTTTCTTTATTTTTTTTTTTTTTACTCGGAAACTTTTTTGATATGGATTAAAACAATCGTTAAGATAAGCATTAAAAAACAAAAAAAATGATATATTACCAAAAAAGAGGTCATCTAAAGTGGGGCAATTTCACATAATCACAGCCAATCAAATTATAGAATTTTGATAATCATCGGCGAAGCAAAGCAAGAAAAAAAAACAAAAAAAAACAAAAAAAATAGAAAGAATGGCAGTCTAAACCTACTTCAGGTAGGTTAAGTAAAAATGTTGAGAAGGCAATTTTGCTTATATTTAACAACCTAAAACCTAATATAACCTTAATATAAAATAACTCTAACCCTAAAATTAATTGAGAAAATTATTAAATATAAGGTCACATGAATTGTCCTGCTTTAGACGTCCTCCAAAAAAAGAAATATTAAGGTTTCGAATCAGTTTGAACTTGGAATAGATGTTGATATAAACAGGTATGAATATCAAAGTCACACAAATTGCAGATTATTTCCGAGATCCTCCTACCCAATCAAAATTACAAATTTTAAAGATAGTATTAATGCAAAATCGAACAAGATCTCAATTAAAATTGTTAAATTTTATATTTTAACTTTAGAATAAATACCTTAAATATTACAAATATACTTTAAATATTACTACAAGATAGAAATATATGTCTTTATATATAGTCTGACCTCTCTATAGTCACACCCCATATAGTAACACCTCTATATAAGCACCCAATATTGTGTAATAGACTTAAACATAGTAAAAAAAACCTTATTATAGTCACAAATCACTTATAATCACTATTATATTAAAATTTAATTTTTAAATCCAATTTATTAATAAAAAAACCTCTTTATAATCACTAATTTATTAATTAAAAGGTTTTTTGACTAAGTTAACCATCTTTGAGTCTCTAAGTAAAATTGTAGAACTCATTAGGATAAATCTAATAGTGGTTAAATCATCAAAATCAGTTTAATAGATGCTGAGATATATTCGAAAAATGTTTTTTTTTTTAATTATAGAAGATATCTCAGCACCCACTAGGCCAATTTCAATTATTTAACCACCATTAGATTCGTTTTAATGAGCTCTATAATTTTACTTAGAGACTCAAAGGTAATTAACTTAGTACAAAACAACTTTTAGATATAGGATGATCATGACTAATGAATTACCAATTAATCATTGATTGGCTAAAGATCACATGATATTCATCTGATATTTGTTTATAGTCATATCTCTATACAATTACCACATTAGAGCATAACCAACTTGTGATTATACAGAGATCTGACTGTATTCAATTCTTTAATCAACTATTAATTATTAATTATAAAAAAAATCTTTATTTCACTTCTATATTCAAACTACTTAAACTTTATACTTAAACTACATCTAATTTTAACTCTAAATTTCTTATTTACCCAACAATTATTTTTCTAGTATATATACGCATATATTTATATTTTAGCAAATATACCCAACTAAATCTTAGCTATATAAGTAAATGTTTCTTATAATCTAAAAATTATATAAAAAAAAATTAGTAAAAAACTGTTACGTATATATATTTATTTAGAAGTTGATGTTAAACGTAATAAAAAGTATATGCCAACATTACAATATATACTGTAACTTTATAGATATTTGTTACTTTCAATATTTTTATTGCTCAGCGAACTTAAACTTGACAATCTAGTAGTTTAATATTCATACAACGTCTATTTTTTTATATTTCTTGTATAAACTTTGCTGGGTGAACATAATATAAAAACTGTGGGATTCAAAGGGGTTCAACTAATATTATCAAAATTTGTTGCAAAAACTTTAAAGCTTGCTTAGGTATTTTTATATTTAATCGTAAAAATAAGTTGTACAAGCTTCTCAAAAAGTCTAAAAAATGCACAAAAAAATTTTTATCGACTGTGATTGGCTGATCTGCATGTGATATCAAACTTTAATTAGCAAGAAGATTTTGGGAGTGATCTGCAATTTGCGTAATTTTGACATTTGCACCTGTTGTTGATATACCATGATATAGCATTAATATGGGTAACATGATCAATAGTAATTACTGGATAATAGATAATATTTCTTAATAATTAAAAATGGATAATCAATGTTTAATAACTTTCAATTGCTATTATTATTCATTGATAAGATGTTTTTAACAAAAGAAATTTAATTTTTTAATAATGAGTAGCTTGCTATCGAATTGCAAGATCAGATGAATTTGGATCACATGTTTAGATTGACCTTTTATGAACTGTAATGGTTTGCTGTGTTGTCTTTATTAGATCAGGTTTTTCTTGGTTAAGTTTATGATCATTAAGTGGTAAACAGATATGAATATTAACAAATTAGTGCTAAAGTAAAGAAGTATTTTTATATAGCTTCAAACGTGAATCAGATTAGTGAGATGGTGAAAGATATAATGTAGTATATTTAAGGGTGATATTTTTTTAGTAAAAAAATCTTATCTTATTCTTTGCTATAGCTTGCCTTGCAAAAAGGCTACTATATCATTTCTCCTATCTCACCCACAGTGCAGTGACCCACAATAAATTTAAATACTTGATAGTTGACTTGTATGACAAGGCATAATGTCAGGCAGTAGCTGCTTTTGTTTTAGTTTTTTATTTTTGTAACTATGAAGCTCTGCAGCTGCTACAATAGTAAAAGATTTTGTTTTTTATAGTAATTAGGCTCCGAGGCTGTAGTAGTACAAGGATTTTGTTTTTGTAATGATTAGGCTCCAAGGCTGCAGTAGTATAAAGATTTTGTCTTTGTAATAATTAGGCTTCGAAACTACAGTAGCAGTGCAAGAACTTTAGTAATTAGGCCCCATGGTTACAGTAGTAGTATAACACCTAGTTTTTGTAGTAATTGGCTATAGTAGCAGTATGTTATAGCTAGAGAGAGCTTTTATATGTCTAGACCAATTTAGTTCAGTGTCGTAATCATAAAACCTGATAGTAAGTTGTACAGACTGGGTCTTTATTTAGTAGTATAGTTTGCCCTTCATACAGTCACTTTCCATATAGTTACAACCTTTTATAATCACACTAATTTATAAAACTTGCTTATATAAACCTTAAGAAATTTAACCTCTATATAAGTACAATTCTTTATAAGCACGAAATTTCTTGAAACCAAAGCATGACTGTAGAGAGGTTAGACTATAGTTATCAATTAAGATATGCGTCATAGGGGTTGTATAGCGCTATACTTAGGTTATATCATTGTCTTAATTAAGCTATATTCGTAAGAGGTCATCACAGGTTATGTTTAGGTTACTTGGAGTTCAAGTTAGGTTGCTATGAGTTACGTTTAGGTTCAAATTGATTACTTCATGCCACTTAGTAAGTGGGAACAGAGCTGGCAGATCACTTATTATTGTATTATTTAGGTGCTAATAACTATACTTATTATTGGAGCCAAGTAAGAAAAAGTTGCTCGATTTTCTAGACAGGAATTCTATTTTGATATTTTGATATGCAAGGGTTTCAAATCTAGATCTGAAGTTTCGAACCCAGATCTGAGGTTTCAAACCCAGATCTGGGGTTCCAAACCTGGTATTACCATTGAAAATTTTTTAATTTTTCTGCACCCCAACTGTGTAGAAGGTTCCAGTGCATAATAATCCTTTTTTTTTTCTTTTATTCCTGTTATTTTTATTATTAGCTTATCTCTGTTACTTAATAGCTTTATCACATAATTAACATTGTTATTATTACTTTCCTGTTATCCCTATATCTATATTATTATTATTCCATATTTAGTCAGTCTATTTATGATTATCATTGCATTATTATTGTGAGATGGCTGTACTCTGGTAAATGTATAAGTGTAGATTCACACTATTCCATTTTTAGCCTATAATAGATTAGTTAACAGTATTTCTTAATTGGTTTAACTATCGATTTCCTTAATAGTCAAATAACATATTGAACATGTTGCAAGGCAAAATATCATAATGAGTTTAATGTAAAATATGATATGAGTTTGTTGAAAGCATCAAGAAGCCAAATCTTGTTATGGGAATAGTTTCAATGAATTCATTGAGGCAAGGCGTAGTTGTTATTTGTCTCTGGCATTTAGCATTATTGAGAGATAAAGGAATCAGTATTGAAAAGGATAAATCCATGGAGGAAGAAAATACCAATAGTAATCTTGGAAAATAGTCTTTATGATTTTTATATATATTTAAAGACCTGTTATTTGCGTGAATAAGGTTTTCTCAGACTTCAATCTCCCTGATATTTGAATAAATAGTTTCTATTGTATTTTTTCTTGTATTATCATATTATCATGAATACATCTTCACGGTGTTGTTATTATTATATATCCCGATATCTCTATCGTGAATACATCTTCACAATCATATTTATTTATTTATTATATCATACAATTATTACAACAACAGTTAGTCACCAATTGTTGTCTCTATCTTACATTATTTTATCTTCGTTCACTATTGCTAATCTAAACTTGGCCCTTACTGACTCTCTCCCGAAATTACAATAGTAACACCGGATCCCAGATTTCAAACCCTAACCCAGGTTTCAGGTCCATACACATACTATTACTGTCGTGACTATGTATTTTACTGTTTTTACATATGAAAAGTAAAAAAACTACATAACAGAATTTACAAGATAAAAAAATATTCAAAATTTTTTGTATACAGTATGAGAACCTGGTAGTTAGATTTCGCAGCTGCGGTAGCAATGCAAAAACCTTGTTTTAGATTCTATGGCTGCTGTAGTAGTACATAGATCTTTGATAAATGAGTTTTAGGCTCCGTAATGTATTTAAAAAAACCCATTCAAGTTACTATAACTCAATCCTGTATATACCTGAGTACTCACATGCATATGCATAAACTTTATTAATACCGATCATACTGGTCTTGTACAGCACCATATGCTGCATAGCTATCTTATTTAATAATAGTAAATTTGTACTCAAATAAATGCAATAAATTAGTACGTACATCAATTATATAGATCAGACCAACAACTCTAAAATTGCCAGTCAAAAAAATTTCACAGCCAATCAAATTTCAAGATCAGGTGTAATATTGCATAATCAGAAAATTCAAAACAAATGGTCGTTTTTGTTAAAAATCACCTATAACTCAAAATTTAGTCTATGAAACTGCCTTTTGCGTATTAACAAAAAGTTTTCTTCGAAAATTTTGTTATAACTATAGCCCTCTAAACCTAATCTACTTGCAATATCCTAACTCTAACCTAATAGCGAAATGTTTTTTTTTTTAGACTAGTGATGCTAGTCTCATAGATCAGGCCCCAAAAATTAGTTTAATTCTGGTCAAATCTGCAGATTATTTGGCCCTAGATCATGAGTTTTAAAACTTGTGATCTAGAGCCATATAATCTGCAGATTTGACCAGAAATAAACCAATTTTTGGGGTCTGATCTAAAAAATCAAAACTTGATTTAAATGTAATGAAAATCATAACATGATTGCTGCAGATGAATGATCCTTATTTTATCAAAGATCCTTTTGTATGACCAGGAAAGAGACTTTATATCCACGTAGCCAATTTAGCTTAGGGTAGTAAGCATTAAAATAAGGAACCAAATATTTTATTAATACACACAAGGTACCAAAAATATATACAAGCCACTGAAAGTATCAAGAGCCTCTAAATAATCAACCAACTTTCCTTTATTCCTACTAAACCCAAAAGTACTACCCAGAGTACTATTTCAAAAATCCTCTAAAACTCTAAAAATCTATCTAATCTCTTTTTGCAAACATATTGCTCTATATATATATTTGAATTAGACTCAATTTGACTATCCTGCATAATGCAAAATATAAGCTAATATGATCAAATATCATAATGATTGACAAAGTGTACTATAATAATTGCTTCGATCATTACTTAATTATGAACTAACTATTATAATATTACCATATCAGCAGATTTACGGAATTGGTCCTAAATTGATCCTAAATTGTATCCTCAAAGTTATCCTCAAAATGAATACCAAATTTT